TCCTGGGGCGAGCGCCCCCCCCTCTGTCCCAAAGAAACAAATATTCGGGAGGATGGAGGCCAAGAAATTCAGGATTTTAAAGGATTCCCAGGTGATCCTAATGTGCAGCCAAGGTTGAGAACCACTGCTCTAGAGCCTCTGCAGATGGAAGTGGTCAAGGCAGAGAGGCTGACAGGCCCGATCCCCTGTCACCACAACCTGATCTTCGTCCCACACCCCCAGTTATAGAGACAAGTCATGCCCCTTAGGAGCCCAAAGTGGAGAACACCCTAGGAATGAGAAAGCCAGCAATCCCCCTTATAGCTAAGCCAACTGCAGCCCAGAAAAGTGACCTGCCCAGGCCGAGAATGCGAACGCCAAAGCCGAAAACACACTCGGAGCACAGCAGGAGCTCAGTGAGGGCGGCCAGAGGAAGGCCGCTGGGGAGGGAGCACCGTCCGGTGCAAAGCTCGCTTCTCCCAGGCACAGCCTCACCCTTTTCCAGGTGGCCAGCAGCTGTTTATCGGACATCTGCTCTGGGTAATCCGCAATGGCAAACACACACCCCAGCAAGAAGCCTTCTTCTGGAACTAGAATAGAATCGTACGGGAAAAACACAATTAAAGCCCATGAATACGTGTGCACAGAAACGTAAGAAGCCCGTCTTGCTGAGTTCCACTTGAAATTATGAAGTGCGTCACCATGACCTGGACGGTTTACCCGGGCACTGAACGCTCTGAGGCAGTCCCGGTGGCAGCCTGGAGCTCTAAGGACACCAAAGTTCACGTGCGTGTCTGACGTCCTGACTACAGAGACAGTGTGCCTGCTCCACCACCAGCTCTAGCTTTTGTCAGGGCCGATGCACAGCCCCATTTTGTAAGCATTATTTTGATGTGAACCCTTACCCACCCTCAAGCACTCTCCAAGCATCAATGCAAGTGCAGACTTTCAGGAGAAAGAAACAAACACATCAACATTACTAACTCTCCACTGCTGGGTCGTGTCCGAAGAGCGGCTGCTGAGGCTGCTGCTGAGGCAGGTGAGGCTGCTGAGGCAGGTGAGGCTGCTGAGGCAGGTGAGGCTGCTGGGGCAGGTGAGGCTGCTGGGGCAGGTGAGGCTGCTGAGGCAGATGAGGCTGCTGGGGCAGGTGTGGCTGCTGGGGCAGGTGTGGCTGCTGAGGCTGCAGGGGCGGAGCCTGGTGCTGCGAAGCCTGGTGCTGCAGCACCTGCGGCGTCTGACTCAGGTGCTGTGCTGCGTGCGTCTGCATCTGCTGCTGGTGGTGCAGGCGCTGCAGCTGCTGCTGCTGTAACTGTGCCAGCTGTTGCTGCTGCAGCTGGTGCAGCTGGTGCTGCAGGGCATGCTGCTGCTGCAGAGGCTGGAGCTGCTGCGGGCGGTGAGGCTGTGGCTGTGGGAACGGGTGCGGAGGGACTGGCTGGGGCTGCGGGAACGAGTGTGGCGGCTGCTGTGGAATCTGCGGTGGCTGCTGAAGCTGCATGATCTGCTGGGGTGGCAGGTGCAGGACGGGGTGCTGCGGCGGCGGCTGGGACAGCTGTGGTTCCGGAGGCACTTTCACTTGGCTGAAGAGCACTGCATTGGTGTTCGCGTGGCCCTGTTGGCTGTGATTCACCTGCTGCTCAATATGTTTTGTAGGTGCTGAAAGGGACTGTAAGATCTAGAAATCAAGAAAAAGGCAAAGTCACCCACCGTTCCTGAAACGTATTAATATCAACTAAGAACGACAGTGTATTTATTTACATGGCCCTTTAATATTCACCTAACTGGCAACAAGCTGCAAACCAGTGGAAGTCTCAAGAACACGGCCTTTTCCTTTGTATTTATTTAAAAAACATCACCAACATCAATAAAGTACCGTATTTTTCCGTGTATAAGATGCCCCCCACTTTTCCAACCCAAAATTAAGAAATCAATATTTTAAACATTTTGCTGGTTTTCCTCTTAAGGCCTTCTTCCTTTTTGGCATCTTAAGAAGCTGTTCTTCCTGTTTTCTCCACGGTCTGATCATACACTCAGTGGGAGGAGGTCCAAACTGTCTCTCTGCAGCTCTATGGCCATGCTCTTTGCACAGCTGATCACATTCAGTTTGAATTCTGCAGAGTAAGACAGTCACTTACCGGTATTTATCTTTTTATTTCTGACATCTTTATGGGCTCAGAATGCTCAGGTCCCTGTTGCACTCTCCACCTCCAATTACAGCATCAGCTGACGTCAGTTAACAATAAGGCTCATGATTGGAGGCCTGTTTGACAAGGTATGGGCAGCTGTGCACCCTCACGGCTCCCTCATCAGCTGACTTCCGTGTATAAGATGCCCCTTGATTTTCAGTCTAACGATTTCAGAAAAAAAACAGCATCTTATGCACAGAAAAATACGGTATGTGAAGTCACCCAGAGCTAAAACCGAGCAGGGTAAACGAATAAGCTATAGAACTAAAGCTGACAAACCTAAGCCCCACCTGGCAGATATGTTTACAGAGCCCAGCCTGAGGGCAGCAAACACAAGGCAGAGAGGAAGCGATGCTCTTCTTGGGCCGCTGGCCAGGCTGCCCCGACCTTCCCTAACTGAGCAAGACTCAGGCACCCCAGCCAGACTCAGCCTCCCCCAACACCTTCTTCCCACAGCTGCCGACAAAGAAGGGTCCCGTGAGAGTCGGACGTGACCACCACCTCCCCGTGAGAGCACCGGACGAGCCTCCCCAGACCGCAGCCCCCCATCAGGATGCCAGCCTCTCATCTGCGGTCACTGCTCTGAGGGACAGAAAAACACCGGCAGCTTGTTTAAATGGTCAGCCTTCCAACGCCCTGGAGCTTTAGATGGCCGAATGCTCCTGACCAGAGGGACCGCCCCCCCCCCCAGGCCAGGCCACCTCTCAGGTTCACGCTGCCTAGTACTGTGACAGCTGAGGGCTCTGGATACACCGGGACGGGGAGAGGGGGCGCGGTAGGAGCGGCCCCCAGCCAGTGGCGGGCAGGTGACTGGTGTCCTCCCAGTGCTGAACAGAACAAAAGAAACATATCACGCATGGACTGTCCCAATGTGCTCAGCTTCTTGTGGTCAACGGGAACCAGTAACCAGAGCGCCACGAAAATGACAACTATGTTTCAGCACGTATCTCCCACTTCACGGACTCCAAACGTCAAGTTCTATAACTTGCAAGGGTGACAGCTCTGGATTTAGTGATGAAACGATTGCGTTTCAACCAGAACTAAGTCCAACTCCAGAGCTGGGGGCCTGTGTTTGGAAATCACCGCACAGGTAAGACACCCCCAGAAGGAGATTCTCTTGGTGCTTCAAACACGTCCCTGCTTGCCCGGCCGGTGTGGCTCAGTGGTTGAATGTTGACCTATGAACCAGGAGGTCATGGTTCAATTCCCGATCAGGGCACAGGCCCGGGTTGTGGGCTCTATCCCCAGTAGGGGGCATGCAGAAGGCAGCCGATCAATGACTCTCTTTGATCAATGATGTGTCTATCTCTCCATCTTCCTTTCTCTCTGAAATCAGCTTTAAAATATTTAATAATAAAAAAAAAGCCCCTGCTGAGCTCTCAACAGAAAACAGCGAAAGAGGATGTAGAAGCAGGACCGCCATCTTCTCCGTGCGCACAGGTGTCACCGGCACTCAGCAGGGGTAGGGGCAGGGGCCTGACCCTGAGCTCGGCCCGCGGCCAGCACAGCAGCGCCACAGGAAGGTGTGCAGCGTGGAGGGACACCTGCTTGTGTCTGCAGATCAGCAGGGAGCGTCCCCACTACTGGGCAGGGCAGTGGCCACATCTGGGAGTTTGTCGTTCTACAGCCTTTGGTGCCTTTGAGGTGTTTTATTTGGTGCAGGTATTTTCGCCCTCAGAAGTAACACCCATGTTGGTAACTGATGGCCAACAAGGAAGTAAACGCCGTCAGGCACATCGGAAAGCACTGAAACAGCGGGCTGCCCCCTGCCACCTGCACCCCAACCCCAGACCTGAGTGGACCTTCACGAATGGAGTTTGTTAGGAGGGCCAGCTGGATGCCCAGAGCCAGAGGCGGGTCCCCCCTCAGCTCTGACTTCCCAGAGCAGCCAGGACAGGCGGGGTTGGCCCCATGAAGAGGGCCACCATCTGAGGGGCCGAGGAGGCTGTGGGTGAGAGCAGAGCTGGGAGGGGGTACAGAAGGCATTGGAGCCGTGCACGGGTGGCCAGCAGTGCCGGACGCCACTGAGAGCACCCTGTACCCACAGGCTCCATCCCCCACTCGGGTGGACACGTCAGTCCCAGGAATCGAGGGAAAAAGACAGACTTTCCACTGCTTGATATCATAACCTGCCACACTGCCAACAATTTTAATAATGTCAAGAATTTTCTGGACGTAACTGCCAGTCTTTATTTAAATCACTTAATACAGAAGGCATTATGCTACATGCCACATGGCTCCTAACCATTAAAAATGTGCAATTTAAACAGGATTTTGATGGTTAGCCATGTTTCCTCAACTCCCTGATCCAATTTTATATTAAATATGTCTTGTATCTCTAACATGTCAGAAATTCATTTTCTTCACATCCAGCAGCAAAATGACCTAATATTCCTACATTGCTGAGAAACTCAGATTCTCTGCCACCGGCGTCGGTGATCAAACCTCGCACAGCCTGGACGGCCGTTCTGGTGTCCCCTTAGGGAAGGCATCCAGCCAGCGAGTCGTCCCTTAACATCCTACCTGCAGAGATGTGCCCAAAGTCGTTGCTGAGTCACTTCATTAAAATGACACCACTTATCTCTACGTCCAAATATAAATGTAGGGAACGTGGGACCCACCGCCTGTGAGAACACGTTTCTGCCCGACTTCACAGACTACTTCCCCTCCGAGTCCCTGCCCTGAAGGGAGAAAGTGGCACTTCCTCAGCGCCAGGGGCACTGCAGCTCTCCCGGTTCCACACCAGCCCTGAGGACGCCCCTCAGGCACATCCTGCCTCTCCAGCCCAGCCCAGCCCCCAGACTCCCCCCACAACCCTCAGGTTCACCTCGTCCCCCACCCCCAGGCTGCCTCTGGCCACCACTCTGCTCTCCCCAAGCCCCTGTGCACTCAGGGGCCTTCCCAATGCCCCAAGCCCTTCACTCCCAGCTCAGCGCCATCGGGACAGCGGGCCCTACTCCCGTCCCCTTAGCCGCTCACTCCAGTCACCCTCCAGCGCCCAGCGCCCAGGCAGGTGCACACAGTGGGGTGGGATGGTGGGATGGGACCGTGGGCGGGAACAGACGGAGCATGGGAACCGCACCGCAGGAGCCCTGGGTCTGAAAGGGCAGCAGCTGCTCAGCCAGGAGGATGTCAGCAGCCAGATGCGAGCGCCATGCAGCTCCATCCCACCGCTGTCCAGACAGGCCCAAGAGCCCCTCTTCAGAGAGAAGCTCATGACTTAGGCAAATAAATAACATTTTTAAAAAATTATTTGGACCAAACTAAACGTGTCAGGCAGAATGTGACCTGCCAGCAAAGTCACCATACCTCCAAAATTGCTAGTGGAGAGTAGATGATAATGGAAGCAAGATTGGAGTGACTTAATAAGGAAGGTAGGATGAGCCAAAGAGTGCAAATGGGTTCTAGCAACTAAAAAAGGCAAGAAAATTGATTCTCCCCCAAAGTTTCTAGAATAAATGCTTTCCTGAAAAAAAAAAAAATTGCTAGTGGAACATGCGAGCTCTGAACACACCTGCTCGCCCCCCTGCCTGGCCCGGTTCAAGGTGGGCACCTGCTTTATTTACCCTGAGCATGGTCACCATGGCCACCTGCCAGCAGGGCCCTAACCAGGGCAGCAGTGCGGGCCCGGAGTCTCTATCCACAGCTCCAGACCCACTACCCTCCTCAAACCCCTGTAGCCCCACCTTGCCTCCCTCCCAGGAACTCCAGAGCCCGCCTCCCAACACCCCGAGAATCACACACTATCTATTACCCAGGGAGGGAGGGAGGGAAAGGACATTTTTCAATGCATGTCTAACCAATACAGACTTCAAACCCACCACCGCTATCATGGCTGTGGCCCTGTGATTTCTAACAGGAAGTGTGTATCTGGCAGCCGAATCGAGCCCCAAGCCTCCTTAGAGACCCACTCGCTCGCTCACGCCCCTGAGTTCCGGTTTTCCTGACTTCCTTCTCTTACAGCCCAGTGAATTCATGGTCCTTCCATCTTCACAGGTGTGGATCCTTGGCGGGAACACTCCCCCGGCTTCCGGGGCTGAAGCCCTGCTACGGCACCTCCTCCTGAGGTCCCCCTGACCACCACACCCATAGCAGCCTTCACCCCAGCTGTTCGTGTGGCCCCCTTACTGTCTCAACACCCAGACCCACCGGAAGCCCTTCTGCTCAGAGCTGTCTGCTGTCTGTCTGTCTTCACCTAAAACAAGAGCAGGGGACTTGTCTGTCTTGTTTACCATTTGTCTCCGTGCTCACAGAAAGGCAAGCAGGCCTGCTATACCTCCCAACTACCTCTGTGTTAAACTGAAAACATCTACTAAAACTCTTAAAGTCCAGTCTGTACCAACAAGCTCCAATCACAAAACTGTAAACAGAGATGAAGGCCCTTTGAGGAGTGGAGGGGAGGATGCTGTTACTCATCCAGGTGAGGCTCATCACGAGCAAGTGAAGAGCAGCTGGCAGAGTTCACCCCTTTTGTAGCCCAGCGAACCTCAAGCCAAACAGGAGACCTTTCCTGCAGGAGCGCGGGCACCCGAGCCTGGTCCTGTCGGCCGGGTGGGGCCTTCGCCTCCACGCACGCCTGACACTGAAATACATACACACACACAACAGACTCAAGTTCTCACACAAGTACATACTGCAAGTGTGCCAACTGTTCTGCAAAAGCAAAAATGATAAATGACACTGCAACAGACTGAGATCCAATTAGAAAATCCCAGATTTACATTTTTGTTTTAAAGGAGTGACTTACGTAAGTCAGACAGAGAAAGACAAATACCTTATGATTTCACTTATGTGGAATCTAAAGAACAAAACAAACATGGAGGGCTCAATGCGGGGGGGCGGGGGGGGGGGGACTCTGTAATACTTTCAACAATAAAGGTAAGTTTTTAAAAAAACAAAACAAATGAGAAAGAAACTCACAGACACAGAGAACAGACTGAAGGTTGCAGAGGTCGGGAGGTGACGGACTCAGAAAGACAGAATGGTGGTTGCTGGACAGTCACGGGGACAGTCACAGGGAGTGCAGTCAGGAATGTGTGATAACTGTGATGTGGGGGGAAGGGGGCGCTGGGAATATAGGGGTCACTATGTAACACACAGTCTAACCGCTGTGCTGTGCACCTGAAGCCCATACAAAGTAACAGTGAAAGTAAACTACATGAAAAAAATCAGTGAATGGACTTGAAGAAAGACTCACGTGGGCCACGCTGGACGGCCTGCTCACCTGCTGACCGTCGGCGCTGCCAGGGATGCTTCTCAGCGTCCGCACGGCGGGGTTCCAGGCGGCCAGCATGTCTGACCTCTCAGAACTCTGGAGGTTCGGTCCCGAAGCCATCAGGCCCCCACGGCTGTCGGAAGGCAGGATGCCCCCGGGGACGGGCGGCACGTTGGCACACAGGTTGATCAGGCCGGGCTCCTTGCCCACAGGCAGCCTGCGCTTTGCCGCCGCCACCTGGGGGACCTCCGCAGGGGTCCAGTTCAGGTTTCTCTCTTGCTTCTCAGGGGATGAGTCTGAGGAATCATCAAACATCAGCTCCCCCTTAGCTTTCTCAGGGTTTGACTTGGGAGAGAACTGCTGGTCCCCTGAAGGGGACCCTTCCTGAGAACTGGCAGGGCTCGACTTGTCATCCGTACTGCCCTCGTTTGGGGAGCCGTGCTCCTCATTGTCTACCTCCTCCTCCTCTTCCTCCTCCTCCTCCTCCTCTTCATAAACAATTAGGCGAGGGTGATAAAACGCTTCATCCTTTTTGGTTTTCTCGGATATGCAATCCAGGACCCAGTCGGGGGTCACGATTTTGATACTTGCTCTCCGCAGGGCACACTCGTACTTCTCCTAGGACAGAGAGCAGCACAGACAGCGGTCAGCCGCAGCACAGCCCGACCCTGCATTCCCGCTCAGCACTGAGGGCCCGCACACCGAGAGCCCCCGCTCCTCTCCTGCAGGGGCTGAGCCCCAAGCGAACCCTGTCTCAGTGATCAGGACAGTCTCATCCAGAGACTGTTTAATATAAAGGATGTTTTAGATACAAGAGCAGAGCTAGGAATCCTACGGAACACTCTCTCATGAAGGAAATGAATGTCTGCCATCTAATCTAGTTTCACTGGCACAGGGCGATGACTGTGGGGGTGTCTGCAGGACACCGGGGATCCGCAGCGCTCTCCTCGCTGTTCTCTAGTGCTTCCTGAGCTCACTACCTGAGACCCAGAGGATGCACATCTCTGCCTGATGAGAAGGCAACATACCCCAGTGCTGAGCGGATGGGTAGGTTTAGTCAGGGGTCTACGAGGGGAGGGCCCAGGGCGAGCCTCCTTGCAGGGCATCGAACCGCAGTCCGAGGCAAACGCCAGCTGAGGAGCCCGTGGGGGCAGGGACAGCAGAGGCTCTCCGACTGGCCAGGGTGCATAATGACCAGAGGACAGAGGAAGGAAGTGGACATTTAAACAAGAGTAATGTGACCAGTCTGTAAAGACGTCAGTTAACCAGCATCTCACCTGCCTGCTTCTAAAGACAAACTAGCTATTGAAGTGATTTATTCTAAGCCATAAACCATAGATACAAAAAGAACCCCCCACTATTTAACCAAAGCATGCTACTTTCCTCTTAAATTTTTATACAAAATACAAGTTTTTACCTAGATTTTAAGATTCATATGTTGAATTTTCACAGAAAAAGTTTCTTCTTGGATTGTGTGGCTGGTTAAGTCACAACCAAACTCACTGGTGTCCAGTTCCTTTTCTCGCCAGGACACTGGCAGGACCAGGAACGGCGGCTCAGTGCAGAGGTGACAGGGACCCCCTATGCTACGGGCTCTGCCGCCTCCCCCCCCCCTCCTGCGGCAGGCACTCAGATGAAACACTGAGGCATAAGGACTGGAGGAAGGGCTGGTATGTGACTTGTCTGCTATGAACACTGTACTTGATTCTCGGTCACACGCCGCTGTGCACAGAGGGACAGGTGTGAGTTCCACAGCAAAGCGGCACTGGGATGTGTGTGCCCGGCTCCCTGGGAGGGGGCTCAGCAGGTTGCAGGCATCCTCACCAGGCTCTGATTTAAGGGGCCAGGCCAGGCACAGTCTGCATTCCCACAAGTCCCCCGGGAGGCCGCTGCTGCGGACGTGGGGTGACCTGGGGCCCCACCAGTGTTTAGGGATGAGAGCCCTGTGCTTACCAAGACAAACGTGACTTCACATCTTCCAGATTATACATGGAAAGTCACTAAATGTGTGTTTGTAATTATGCTTGGGACAAGGCCATTTTAAAAATTGTGACAAGGACTAAAAATACAGGGTGTCCCCAAAAATGTACACACACTCTGGCTGCCAATTATAATTCCAATGGGTTAAATCTGAAAAGAAACATCAATGAGAGCTATCAGCTGTTTTTTGGGACACGCTGTATATATTTTCACAAATGAAAATGAACTTAAGTATTATTGGACTTGAAAGGAAACTCCAGAGATTCAAAACACTTTCCTATTTTCTCCATGAAATAACCCACAATTTCTTTGTATGCAGAAGACACATCTGGCTCCAAATGAAATTTATAATCACCTCACATCCTTTGTGGAATAAAGCTGGGCATAAACAACATAAACTAACCTAATCAGCATTTATGAATGGAACCTAATGATTAACGGAAAAGAAGCTCAAGACCAACATGCTTCCCGGAAACGCTGAGGGGACACAGAAAAGGCGCACGTACAGGAAGCGCTTACCCCCTTCGGCTCCGGCACGACCAGGTGTGTGCACCTCTTGTTGAGGCTCAGCTGGCAGGCGCCCCCGTAGAAGGTCAGCAGGGCCCACAGGGCGCTCCTGTCTTCAGGTGACACCTGGTGAATCCGAAACAGGGCTCATGTCACACATTTGGTCTCTGCATGTCTGCTTACATGGTGACAAATAACAGTTCCTCTTTATCTACATTTCTCCATTAAGTGAAACTAACCGGAGTATTAGTGGGAAAACCAAACAAGCTTTTTGCTATTTGTTTATAGTGATAAGAAGCTGCAGTCCTACATCACAGTTTTATAGACATCACTTTTTCTGCCTTGTCACCAAATGAATAAGAAAACACTAGTCCACACTCCACCCTCTCACTGAGTCACTTGCGAAGCATTTAAACAAGAGCAGCGTCAACATCACATTCAAGACGCTCCTCAGTCACAACCGGTAACAAAAGCTAATGATGAAACAGGTCAAATAAAGACACAAACACAGTGGTTTGCAAACTCGGGAAAACGTGAATTCTATTTAACACAGAAAGAGAAGCAAGACAAGCCTCACAGAGACGGCGCCACACTCCTGAGGGGGAAGCAGGCTCCAGCTCGCGCTGGTGCTGTGAACAGGCCCCGGCTGACAATAGACAGCTCCCCTCCCTGCCTGCCTACTGTGCATCAGGACCTGTGCACTGCCTCTCCCTGCCCCTCACCCTCCTGGCCAAGGGAAGCAGGTAAGGAAACAAAGTCACAAAAACTGGCAGCCAATAATCGGAAAAGCGGGCTTCTGACACCCCATCTGTCTGAGCCCAGACAACATTTTCCTGCTGCTCTATGGGCTTCTCTAAGGGCAGTTACTGCCAAAAACAATTTCTAAAAATTAAAACTTCAGAGTCTGAAAGACAAACATTTAAGAAAAATAAAGGTGTTGGTGTTAATTCTAAAACATCATTGACCACTTCAAGCTTTTCTAGATAATCCTATATAATAAAGAGCTAATATGCAAATGGTTGTCATGCCCTCACGGCTCAGACACTCAACACTGGGGAGAGAGGAATGGGGACCAGCCAGGCACAAACGAGCTTGTGAGAGAGGAATGGGGACCAGCCAGGCACAAACGAGCTTGTGAGAGAGGAATGGGGACCAGCCAGGCACAAATGAGCTCGCGAGAGAGGAATGGGGACCAGCCAGACTGCAGCCTGGGAAAGGGACAAGCCGCCTGCCCCGTAGTCCTGGGCATCAGCGGCTGGGGCTCGGGCCCGGAAGAGGGACAAG